GTGTATGGGGCCTGAACCAGGGCATCACATTTTTAGTGCAGGAGTTTTTCAGTTGAACTTTCTCCTGGCATCACAACTTGGGCTTCTGATTCAGCAAATATTTAAAAAAAAAAAAAAAAGTTGATGTGTTTTGCCACACCATGCATTTTTTGGAGTCCTCTTGTAGCTGTATTCAGGACTGCAGGCATCAGCCTAGGTAGTTGTTTTCAGAGGTTTTTGCTGCATTAACAAGCTAACTTTAGACCATGGGCTTTTCAGGTGATACATCTCTGGGGTTGCTGGTAACTGGAGTTCTACCACATGCCAGACAGTAATCAAAGATGTTTAAGAGTGATACAGCAGATTTCACAGCTGGTTTTATTCAGTTTGGGAAGCACATTCTTCTCATTTCCGTAATAAAATAAGAATTTTGGAGCCTTTTTTTTCCTTATTATTATTTTTGGCATTTCAAACTGTCCCCAGCACGTGAAAACCTCAGTTGGTTCTTACATTTTGCCTGTTATTCTGTAACAGGAACTTACTTGATGCCTGCCCCGCTTTAAAATTGATTTAGATTTCAACAACATGTATTTGCAAAATGTCTTGCAATTAGCAAAAAATGATAAATATGTCCCCTCTATTTCGACCTGCACTGATTGACAGTGTTGCTGATACAGAAGATACAATATTTCCCAGCTGTCTTCTCAGTAGTTGCATTGCCTCTGCAAGGTTACCAGGAATAAATGCTCATTTATTTTGGCAAAGTCAGCAAATACAAGTCAAGGACATGCAAGAGGCAGGATCTGTGGAATAAAAGGGGCTATTTCCCTGGGTTCCCATTGTGCCTATAACTATACTATAATAGGATGAACAGCTTATGCTAATAAAGTTAGATCATAAGAATAAGTGCCCACCTGTGCTGAATGAAACACAAATCCATCTGGATGGAGCAACAGTCTCATATGTTAAGAGTCAGCTAGTGGAACCAGCCATCAGCTCAATTAACTCATTTGAATTAGAAACACAACTTCACAATAATAGGTTGATTAGTGCTGAGCAAGTATCTCAGGTTACCGCACTGCACCTCAAAACGTTCCCCTCTCTTTGGTTATGCGATATGACTGAAAGCCCTGGGAAGAGATGACTTTAAACTTACCTTGGCAATAAATTGTATGTCACAGGAGGTTAATGAAGCATCTCTCTATAGGCTTTGCTGTAGTGGGTAGCCATACTGTGGCTCCCTGAGTTCCACAGCACAGCTTGCAGGGCTTAGATGAGGTCTTCAGCTGATCTCAGCATGCAGTCCTCTGTTTTGATCCCAGCTGTTGAGCAATGTTATGTATTGTTAATTGTATCTCTGTAAGTATGCTTCTGTATTTAAAATTAGGCAGCAGCAACCAACTCCAGCACCCACAATCCCATACCTCTGAGGTCAGGATTCTTACAAGTTACCAAAAATGGTCTTATTAAAAACATGACCTTCAGGACTTGCCATATATATAGCTTAAGGAAATGACTCACCTTAATGGCATGCATGGGTTTTTTTTGGTTTGGTTTTGGTTTTGTTTTTAAATAAAGAATTTCTGTTTCTTGTCTTTAACCACCTTGCAGGTTGAGAAGAGTAAGACTGGAGTATAAAGTGGCTGTGAAATCAAGTAGCAATCCTGATGCATAGCTTTCAAAGGACTCAATTCTACCCATTCTCTCACTGACTGCCTTAATGAGGTCTATCTCATGGTCTTCCAAAGCTTTAAAATAAAGAAAACACTCCAGGATGTTACAGTGAAAAATTTAAACAGTCTGCCTACTTTAAATTCAAAATGGGGAAAAAAAATGAAGAAAGACTATTCTTGCAAAAGATATGCTTGTTCCAGCATAGGTTTTGAAACATTCACATGATCATCCTAATTTTTGTCCTTTATTGGAGAATTCAAATTGAAATTGCTGATTTAAATTTTTCCACATTTGTTCAAAATCTCTTCAGCTACTTTTTGAAAGGTAGAAAGTGGTAGTCTTCCGCTTTGCTCATTCGACTCCTTTACACATATTTTCTGTTATGGAAAGTTTTTCAACCTTAAGGAAATGAGCTTGGTCCCCCCACTCCCAAGAAAAGTAGTTTACTTTGCAAGGTCAAGCATTTAGAGATGGCCAATCCTTTTCATGACAAGCACATAAGAAAGTTTTATTAAAGGCAGCAAATGACCATTTCTTGCCCTCACATAGTGGGAAATACACATACAGTGTCAAAACTGTTTTGCTACATATATAAGTATGAAAAAAGCAAAATATAATTGCTTGTGTAAGTATGGGGATTTTGTGGAATTTATAGTGTGCATGTTTGATTGTGCAGCCAGAGAAGTAGAGAGAGGGACATTAAAAAAAAAAGAACACATAAGAAAAAAGATCAGAACTGCTCTGAATGTACTACTTAAACAGTATCCTGTATTTTGGCTTTTAGAGCTCAGTCTTCTCTTCAAATACCTCAAATTGTGTATGAAGATCCTGAAGTCAGTGGAAGGAATCGCTACAAATATTTTGCACGGTAAGGAATGAACTGATTTGAAGCAGAGTTCAGAAGCTTGCTTTTGTGCAGTTTAAAGAGCACCTAAATAAATGCCAGAGCCTTATTTCTTCTGTCTTTTCTGTCAGTTCTTTGATCACTGCTATGGAAAATCTAAATAGTAACTGAGTCTTAAATCACAAGGTATTTTAAATTCACGCTATGCTGGAATTTTCAGGTAATGAGTTACCATATAAGCAAATGTACCAGGCATTCTGTACCCAGTAATTATTTGTAGAAAGCTTTGGGCTGTAGATCCTCGTACACAAAGGAAGAAGATGCTCACAAAGCCATTGTGGTTCTCAAGACTCCTGGAGAGGTGTCTTCTTAAGGAGCCTTTTAACTCACTGTTTCTGCCAGGAGCAAAAAGGGAGCAAAGGAAATCCTTGATTAACTTTTCATCAATGTCCTCTACTGCAGGACTGCTCTGCTCCTCCTGGAATGACACTGCAGGTCAGCAATGGACTCAAGATCTGAATCAACAGCTAGTGTACAAACACTCCCGACTTAGTCTCATGTACTTTGAATTATATTCGCTATTTAGTCAGCAACTATTGGCCAATATATCCTCTTTAGATATTAAAAAAAAAAGGCCAAGTTTAATAAATTGCAGTTCTTTATGGCTCCTTTAACAATGACAAAAAAGGGACAAGGATGGTGTTATCTTCTGCAATTTGAAATTAAGCTTTAAAGTCTCTCAAAGGCGAAGGGAAATTGATAGTGAACTGCAATATGCAAACTGTAAGAATGCCTAAGAAGGAATTATTAACATGCTGTTGAGCCTGTATCACTTTGAAGATACTTCATAAAATACTGCAAAAAAGGAAACAAATCAAATTTGATAAGTCCAAAACAGCTTACCTTACCAGCTGATTGTAGGAATTCATTTCAGGGTTTCAAGACGTTATTAAAGAAGCTCTCTCAAAAGCTCGAAATGAAAAAAGTAAACTAGTTAGTGAAACATACACAAAATGTTGTGAGCACACTCCAAACTTACTTCTTTTAATTGTTGTCTTGTTTTGCAATTCCACTCTCTGCTTTGACAGAAGAGTAACACTCAATCCTATTTGTGAAGCTTTTTCCGTTACTCCTTAGCTATGAAAGGATTACCTAATGTTCAGGCACAATTCTTAAAGATGCAACTACAGAACTTGAGTTCTGGAAAATTGGTGTAAGTCCACTGAAAATTAGTGTAACTCCACTGAAATTAGTCGACTGCAGTTTCTCTGAACTGTAATGAACTTTTACTCTCATGGTTGTTGTCTTACATCTGCATTCTCTCTTTTCAGACCCCTCATCCCTTCTAATAAGCTGTTTCCACTGAACATTGCTTATGCAATGGCAAAGTAAGTAGTGAGTTCTGGAGCAGTACTGTTGTAATGGGTTGCATCTCACCAGAAAAAGATTGGGAAACTATTTAGCTGGTGACCAATATTTTTCATAATGAACCAACAGGAAAAACTTTTTAAGAGGTAAGGGTTTGTTCACCATTGGGAATTCGTGAGGAAACAGGTGACTGACTGTTTCAGAATTTGCTTGGAGTATTTAAGTTGTGCTTTGTGGGTAAAGGACATGTGCCTCAAGTGTGTTGTGATTATGAGGCCTGAAACAGAAAGCCAAGTGTCCCTGAATCCTATAAGAGATACCAATGCAAAGAAGATTCTCCAATACAGCAATATTGTTGGAAAATCTGCTGATACTTTATTACAATCTCTGTGATAGTTGCAATACTTTTCAGTGGTGTAGAGCATCCATGAAGTAATCTTACTTGGTTTTCAGTGGGGATCAAATTTTCAGGGACACAAGAAGATTCGGTTCGTAGTAGAGTCAATGGAGGTTGCACAAGGTTACCTTATAATTGAATTTTTGTTCTGGAATTGTTGGAAAGACAAACATGTAAGCTAATTTGAAGCAGCCTTCCTTCATTTTGCACTCAAGCTTTAGTTACTTTTTGTGCTCATTAAAAGCAATGCTTTAGAATGGATACATAGGGAAGATTTGCATGTAATAATTTGTGAGAGCTGAAACCAGAAGATTTCTGGATTGTTTACTTACCTAAGGAGGGAGGTTTCAGAGGACTCTGTGTATAGCCTCAGTCTGCTTTTACAAAAGATAGTGAAGTTAACATTAGTGGGAGCAGTGTTAAGATAAAACAACACATTTGGTAACCTACCTTTGACTTAGTGTTGTGCTTTTGTTTTGATTTTTTTTAATGAATGTGACAAATGTTCTTCCATCTTGCATCTCTTTTTAGGACAGAGACGTATGTCCATTCAGCTACAAGGGACAGCAAGGCCTTTGGTCCCAAGTTACGAACTTTGGGCACACAGACAGATTACAGGGATGGTGAAGCCCAGACGGATCCCTATTCCCCTGAATATGTAGTTTCCAGTGGCTCAGTCCCTGAGCTTCTGACACTTGCTACACTCACTTGGGGTGAGTTGTGAAACCAAGATAAATAATAATCGTGTTGCCTCTTTAGCGAGAGTTTCTTTTTGTCTTCAATGTCAGGTTTCAAATCTATTGCCAGCTTTGGCAGCCCTTTGTTGACTTCCTTTGGGGCACATTATTTTCTCTGTTTCTAAAATAGGTATGATATTTTTCTACTTAATAGCGCTGTTCTGGGGCATTTCATGAAGAGTTTTGAGATCATTCAATATAAAAATGTCATATGTTTTATGAATACAAACTAGGAGCAGTTTTTCCATTTACCTACTGTTCTGAGTTAGACATCAGTAATACGCCAGTACGAACACTGCTGCCCCAGAATACACCTGTCATTCTCATCTCCCAGTGTCCCACCTGCAATAATGATGGACACTGGACAAGCCAAAGAAAGTGCTCATTCTCAGAAAGTGTTGTCTTCAAAGAGTTTTTCCTCCTTTGCAGCCTGCAGAGGAACAAAGTGCTAGTGTTAATGTCAACTAAGCTATAGTAACTGAAGGTCCTACTGTTCTTCATACTGTAGAATTTTACTGGCCTTAAAAGTATTTTCTTCTGGCTATTGACAGTGCTGCTTGTGTTTAACGTATGGGCTTGTGCCCATCCAGCCCCCTAATACTTTTTGGTGGTGATTATTTGGTCGATTTACCATTCTCCTGAAGAACTGTTGCTTTGTGTCCCTGTAAGGTCGGGGGCTACCAGCAGGACTAGCCGAGGTGGAGATGATTGAACGTGCCCGGGAAAAACGTGCATGGGAAGCAACTCTTCCAGCCATGGACAATGCCTTACAAATCGTGAAGAGGAGGAAAATGATGGATGATATGGAGAGGAAGGAGTGGGCCTTTAGAGAACAGGAAATAGAAAAGTAGGAGTCCAATTATACTCTTTATTTCTTTTAATTATTGGCTGAATAGAGAAGGAACGAGAAGGTTTAGGGGATTGGCTGAAGGGTACAAGCCTTTCATTTCTCTGAAAATCCCCTGATTTTGGGAAGGGATCATTTTGTTGGGTTTAATGTAAGAGACTGCTACCACAATACTTTTCACCAGTGCTAAACTCACTTTTTAAGATGAAAGATTAAATACAAGATCTGCAATGTGAACTGTATGTCAAGTAGTCAGTTGGTATGTAGGGACTGATGACGACAGCATTGCACAGAACGCTGCAGAGTACAGTAGGTCATACCTGGCCTTTTCTTTCCTTGCAGGTTGCAGGAGGTTCGACTAGAAGTCTTAAAGAAGCTGCTGTGGAGGCGAGAGGAGAATCGGAATGAGCTGGATGCCAAACGCTTAGATAGCCACTGGCAAAATCATCAGAAGGCTAAAGAAGAGAAAATAAAAAAGATTCAGCATGACTGTGCACTGAGTAAGCTGGAAAGACGGGGGAGAGCAGTGTGAGACAGTTTTCAGACAAGCCATTTTTGTTTTTACAAGGTGGCAGTCTTTCTTCAAGATGAAACGGGTTGTATCCACAATATAGATATGCATGGCCAGCATTTGTTCTGGTCAAACAGGTCATGTTTTTATGCTAACTACTAAAAGCTCTTGTGAATTTCCAGAGATACGGCTTTTTTAGAACTATATGTATGAAGAACCTTCTCACATTTGTATTTCTTCTTCAGTGCTCAGGAAACTGATAGCTAAGAGGAAGAATGTGATGGGGAAGCTGGAGAGACGAGATATCATCAAAGAGTATACTGACTTTGCATCACAAACATACGCTCCTTTGTCTAGAATTGGTTATTTCCCAGATAACCGTTCTGAACGCTATGTGGTAAAAAACTTCTATCTTAACACCTTTGCAGGTAAGGCATTTTGGAAGAATTAGTTTGTATGAGATATTTACTTAAAATAGTAACAAAACTCAAATTTCTCTCCCCACCACTCCATTACTTCATCGCTGCTTATATTTCTTAGGACTCTGTGAACTGGAAGCATCTCTCCCAGATTCTGTCACCCAGGTCAAGATTAAAGCTCCAAAACCTAAGTGCACCACTACTAAGACTGGATTTATTAAAAGATCGGCAAGGCTGGAGGTGGAGCTAGCACAAGTTCACCAGGTATGGAGCTGCATCCACAACATGTCAGTTTCTCTTAGATTTGAGCTGCTCAGAAATGCAATTGGGAAGACACACATGTAAGCGTTCTCCTGGTTTCTTGTGCTAAATTCTTATTTTCTGTGAGGCAACTTTGAGGACAGAATGGGTCAGACATTCAGACTGTTGTAGGCATGACCAGTACTGCTCTGGAACTCTGTCACTACTCTCTCTCCCTAATATCTGTGCTTCTGCTGCAGCTTTACAGAGAACAAGCATAGCTGCTTCTGTCTTCCTACAGATCAGGTATTTGGATCGAAGCATACTATGTCCGTTAGAAATTCTCTCCTGCCATTTGCCCATTCTCATTTGTTCCTTGGTTTTATAATGCAAAAGTGGCAAAAGCCTACTGGTTACACTGTCAAAGGACTAATAATTAAATAAACCAAATCTGGATTCGTAGTCTAAAAATTCCATACATTTTAAAAAATGTGCACTTTAAGTAGATATTGTAAAAACACGTGCAGCAAAGCATGATTAAAATGTCCCCACTCATAAAATCAGATCAGAACGGTGGATGCACATCACTGATGTTCCCTAACAACAGCATCTAATTTGCAAACATGCTACTAGCGTTTTGCATATCTTAATTTATCACAACTGTTCATGCAGATGAGGTGTCCATATATGCAATGAACCACTGAGGAAAGAAGTGCGTCATTTGCATCTAGAATCGCAATATTTGTAAATTACGTGTACTTTTAAGTAGACTTATTGTCATGCTGTTGGGGGTTACCTTTTTTTTTAAAATCACACATGTTCTTGCTGGCTGCTGTATCTCTGAAAAATATTTAATTTCATTTGTAAAGCTTGGCAACTCTCACACTTTATTTAGTGAAGAATTATTTCATAATTGGAAATTATGTGTTTAGCTTTCTTGTTTTAGTGTAATTTAATAATACTCTCGATGCAGTAACTTTCTACTAATGAACTTTAAATTGAAATCTTGTTCTGAAAAATCAATCATATTATCTAAAATTTAAATTCCACTGGATCTTGTAAAAGATGAAACATTGCATCTGATTATTATTCAGAAGGAAAATTTTCAAAGATCTTGAGTGCTACAGGGATTGTTCAAGAACTAATGACATTGATTCACTACAGTTTTAGAGAAGAAGACACAGCAGTATTGAAGGGTTTTGAGTTTGGGTGCTTTTTGCATAAAATTCCAGTAGTGACTATGTCTAATCTGGGTCATAACACAGTTCTCATAGGCAGGAGAATGTTAGCCCAAGCTTTCAGAGCTGAATTCCAATTACAGCAATTGCATTCTGTTTGTTCAAAATACTTCTCATGGTTTGATAGACTACAGTGGAGTGTCTAAACTGTAGTCACGGAGAAGAAGTATGCCCTAATGCTGGCTGCTCACACAATAATGTCTCTTCAAAGAAAATTGGTGGCCAGAGGGAGATGGCTTGCAGAGCAAAAGCAGACAATTCTGCATGTATTCTTTCTTAAATCAATGCAGATCACTTGGTCTATGATTTGTACCAACTGAGCGACTAACATAACTAATACTCATTTCCCCACCACAAGAAGGCAAATTGTGTATTCTTTTAAAAATCACACAGCATTTCCTTTGCAGATAACAATGATAAATCTGCTATGCAAAATGCCACTGCTGCTTTTAGATATACAGAAGTAGACACCAGACAAGTACTGACACTGTGAAACACCCAGACTGCCTCAGCCACCATTAGATTAAAACTTTCTGTTCAGAGCAACAGGAAATTACTGCCCTAATTAGTGCTTGAGCTCTGTGGTGCTGTTACTGGTCACTTTCCCATCAGAGGCTTTTGCTTCTTAAGTTTGGTGGCTATAGCATGCTCTGGCTTAGCAGGGCCCCTCTGACAGGTCCACCTCATAAGCTACTCGAGCTGTCAAGAAGAGGGCAGCAAAGGGTGCAGAGTACTTGAGTTAACAGAATTTAGCACTTGAGAGGACAGCTGTCTGACCACTTGGCACAAGCAGTCTCAGTCCTGCCAACAACTTCCATCACACACAGTATGAAAGAGGCTTAAAGCAAGCAATTAGGGATCATCTGAGAAGGGCACTGTGTTGCTTTGCGTTATTTCTATAGCTGAGCAGCTAGACCAGTTTTCTCTTCAAAAGCCTTTTCTTAGTGCTGTTCTAGCACACTTAATCTACACATTTTCTCCCAAAATCCTAGAAATAAAGCAGAACTCTAGCAAATTCAAGTGCACAGTGATCTGGCTCTAGAATGAGTTTCTTTCATTTTCCCTGGATAATCTGTGGAAGGAGGTGGCAAATAGAGGAGGAATGCTTGATTTTGGGCTCAGAAGTGATTAATTTTAATAAAGGAAGTTTCCAAGGCTTGCTTCTCTGGCCAAACAAGTGGCAAGATGGACTAGTCCTCCTCATTATGTTCCTCTTGGTTTGTGATATTGAGGGTTTTCCTAAGCTTAAAGCTTGTAAGAAGGGACAAGCAATTATCCAAGGAACTATAAAAAGGATATGTGTCCTCTTGAGAATAACAGCTTCTTCCAGACTTGAAACTAAGCCAAAAAGTGATTTTTAGAAGCAGGCTTTTTGAGGAGCATCCTGAAACCTTTTGCAGGAGTATTATGTACACTCAGTATTCTTTGAATAATTCTCTAACACAAGAGAACATGGCAGAAACAGGAGTCACCCAGGGTTTACAGTAAAAATACTGATGTGTATCTTAAGCCAGATCTGGAAGAGGACAAGGAAAGCTCGTTCCTAGCCAGTGCAGATGACAATGGCTTTAAGGAATGTAAGCCATTATATAGACAGCCTTGTGTGAAAATCCAAGGCATTAAGGGGACAGCATACTGATATAGCTAATTACTATAGGAAAGAAAGCAACTAAGTGCCTGAATACACCAAAGAACGGAGGAGCTGCTTGAAGAAATCCCGGTGCAGAACAACGTGTGACTTCAGGCTGACCCTCTATGCTCTCGTGACTCAAGAGGGGTGAAGTGTCAGGTAGTTTCAAAGTGCTGGAGCAAGATGATGTCAGAACAAGGAACCTCTCACCTCAGCATAAGTGCAACTCTCATCACACCTGTTTTCCTTTATCCAGTTGCTGGAAGGAGGTGGAGATGTAGGTGGGCCAAGAATGTCTCCGGAGAAAATCTCTGCCAACTTCAAAGCGTAGGAAAACCTGTTCCAGCAGTTACTTCATCAAGAACAGATCTCCAGCACAGTGTTAGTTGGCTCATGCTCAGACAAGCTCCAAGAGCTATTATGTCAGTCTTGATCAGCCAAGATGCAGCAGCCATGCTGCATTGCAAAGTTGGTAGTCAGTCTGTCCTTGATGATCTCACCTTCTTCATTGGTGGGCAAAAATGAAGAAAGAAAAACATAACTCTGTGCTGTACATGAAAATAAATTGCACCTCACGTCTTGTGACAAAGAGAGGATCACAGAGAAGATAAGGAAGGAATCTAAAGATTTACTTCTTTGAACAGAGAGTTGTTTCTCAAGCCGCTATCCTGTCAAGTGTTCGAATTCTATCAGAAGCCAGCAAAGAAGCTAAGATGTATGGCCAAAAGCATGGGTGCCATTTGCTGTTCACTACATTTGCCAGGAAAATGAAGACGAGATGAATTCGGTGGTCCTTCACTGTCCATTCCAACCAGATTATACCATGTCTCTGAACCTACTACCTGAAAAAAGTTATGTAGTCTATCTCAGAAAATAGAGTGTGATATGTAGGCAGTAATATTTGAAGTGTTGGTATCCCCTTCCAGGGGAGGTTTAGATTGGACATTAGGAAAAATTTCTTCACTGAAAGGGTTGTCAAACATTGGAACAGGCTGCCCAGGGAAGTGGTGGAGTCACCATCCCTGGAGGTGTTCAAAAAACTTGTTGATGTGGCACTTCTGCACATGGTTTAGTGGGCGTGGTGGTGTTGGGTTGACGGTTGGACTTGATGATCTTAGAGGTCTCTTCCAACCTAATGATTCTATGATTCTAAGTATGTTGTTCAGAAATTCAACACTTTTTTTCTTTTTAAAGAAAGTATTTTACAGCGATTCCTGGGCCCTGGTCTCCCTATTTCAAAAAAATGGTAACTTGTTAAGTTAGGCAGAACTAGTTAATGCAAAACCCCGTATTTTCTTTTACTTATTTTACATTAAAGTCTTAAAATAAAACCTCAGATTAGAGAAAGCAAATGGTAAGCATTTTTGACTTAGTATAAGATAGCAAAGCAGGCACTAGACTGTGCTGACAAGAAAATGTAAAACCACTTCTGGGAATTGCAGTATTTCTCAAATCTACATTAATAAGAATTTCCTCTTGTCAGAAGTGCTCATAGATTTTTCTGTCTTTAAAAGTTATTATTCTGGTTGTATTTTGTTATTCTGGTTAGCAAGAAATATTTTTGGAGGCTAAGGTTTTATTAGAAAAATTCTTATGAATGCAACATTGTACTAATAAACAGAGGAGCCATTGTTTACAAGACTCACAATTACAGCAGCTTCTTTTTTTCAATTTCTGTCCCCATCATGCAAAACACCTTATAAATCATAGCAAGCACTGTTATAATCTTCATGCCAGAGAGCTCTAAGGTCATCAAATACAAGAAACAGTTCAGAAAATCTTTCAACATTTTTGAGCTATAACCATTTCACGTGGCTTATAAGCAGTTTATAGGCTTTGATTCTTGCATTATGAACATGGTCCATTTCCGAAGTTTTCAATAATAAAGCATTTTATCCCCTCCACCTAGAAATCTCTCTCCTTTTCTGGAGCAGTTAATTATCCTGGCCTGAAAGGTCACATCCAATATGCAAGAAGAGTTTTGTACAATGACCACTGGAGTTTCAAAACTTCATTAATTTCACAATTAAATTCTGTGCAAGTGCCATCAATTTGCTGTTACTGGAGGGGGAAATTCAGCATGGGATTTTTTTTTCTTAAGTTTTCCTTGGTTTCCCTCCCTAACGAAATACTGCATTTGAACATTTGAAAGAGAGAGAGTGAGAAAAGGCACACTTTTCCTTGCTGGAATATGCCTGTTCTTTTGGTAATAAAGACTACAGATCCAACCCATACAGTCATAGGGTTATAATTTTGAAGGTGCTTTAAATGTACACACTCTCTTCCCTTTTAATTGCGAGACAAAGTGTGATGTCCCACAGCAGGCAAGTGTTGCCGTGCAGTTGGAAATGATTATCTGAAAGTCTTGTTCTAAGTAGCTTGTGATGGGAAGTTGGCAGGACTAACAGTTTGAGGATGTCCCTAAACAGTTTGATAATGTCTTGAAAGAATTGAGGCCATGGTGGCGTCTCCAGTCCTAGTCTGCTTTGGCTGGCAAGGTTTGGCATCTGCCACCAAGCAGCTGCAAGCAAGATAAAACCCACTCTTAATGGCCTTGTGGGTTTTCTTGGTTGAAGGAAGTTCTCAGGCAAGCTGGTTTCCCTTTCACCCTTAGTCCACTTGTACAGGTGCTGTGGGTGCCACTGGGCTGCTGGGCGATTGCAGATGAACAGAGAAGAGTTTCAAAATATCTTTTGCAAGGAAGGGGTCCTGGTTCAACCCTGCACAGGAACAGCATAATATACAAAGACATTTCACTGAGGAAGGGCCACAGAACAGTGACAAGACACTCGTCAAGTGACCCCCTTCATAAAATCTCCTGACCACAGAACATTTCTAACCTGCAGCAACAAGCACTATACCCATAGTTAAAAGCAAAGAGTTATAATCATTCTGTAGTGATCATTTAATTACAAACTGTAATTAAATTGTGATATTCCTACCCATTTTTCATGTTCTGAAAGAATCTTACCTCTGTCTTACAGGAAATATATTTTTGTCATTGTATAAGGAAAGTAACACACGCAACTGCCTTTGCTGCATATGGGTCAGGGTTTAATTGATTCAATGAGATTCCTATTTTAAATATGAAATATGCTTTTGCTTAAGAATGTATTATATTAGAGATTAAGATCATAGCAATTTTAGATGATTCACTCTATGCAATTGCTTGTAAATATAGTAAACTCTCGCTTCTTTCTGACGTATGATTTTGAAATTCCCATCAGTATCTGCTGACCAACCAATAGCCTCATCTACTGACCATATTCGGTTTTTTAGTTGATGTGCAGTAAGAAATAGAAGGCACAAGCCCACAAAGTGCAAAATACTTTCAGCGCCCTGTAGTCAGTGTGATCAGCAGCAGTCACTGTCTGGAGGACTGGATTTACTGTGTTGTTCTATCTAGCCCAGTTCTGATTAAATTGTATGCCTATTCCAGGCACTACTGGAGAAGAAAAATGAAGTCAAGGAGCCAAAGAAGCCCCTCCGTTTCCTTCAAAAAGTAGAAAAGCCCATTCCTCGGCCACCCACCCCAATCCTGGAAAAACCATCGATTGTAAGTGGGCTGGTTTTAGCACCTTTTTTTTTTTTTTTTCTGTTGATCCCTGATTGTTTCCTACACGGTTGTTAAAAGGAATGCCCAGAGAAGGAAAGAAGTGAGCTGTATCTTTTTTGTGTGTATTCATGCCAGAAATAGCCATCACTATTTCTTAAGACTCTTAGTCTCTCTTTATTCTATAAAGATACTAGCAGCTGAAGAATTGAAAATCTTTTATGATATCTGTTGGCCAAATCCCTAACTAAACTTTATTTTATAGACATAAATTAGTAGACATGTTACTCCCTTGTTCTTGAGGAACAAAAAGGCAGAATCATGTTGTTGTTGTTGTTGTTGTTATTCAGTGTCTTCCAGCCTTCTGATCTGACAACACTATCGTAATCCAGTGGAGCAATTAAGTTTAGTCCCATTGAAGTAAGTGAGACTTTGGGTGCTTAGCACTGAGCATGCCCTTCATTAATTTGCTGGAGTGAAGCTCTTGTCATCGTGCAGGATGCAGTCTTTGATGAGCATGCTCCAGTTCACAGAAGATTATTCTTCTGCAGAGACTGAAATGGCAGTAATGATGTGTCATGGGGGATGTGATATGCTTGTAGGAAAAAACAGCTTTTTTAGGGGAGCTGCAACTTCTTTTCCTTTCTTAAAGTAATGTACTTAACTTGCCCCAGTGGATTGTTTTGTCTGCTTAGTAACACAATTTGCATGATGTAGTAAGAATCAGACACAATTACCATTTAAACTTGTGAATTTAAGAGTCACACAACCATGGAAATGAGAAAGTCTTATTAGATCATCAATGCTGTCTTCCTTTGTTCAGTATGATGCCCTATGTTTTATACAGTCTATTTTAAGATGACTGAAACAAGAATATCTCCTTGGGAAGAGCTTTCCACAGCTTTACTGACTCCTAGGTATTAGATATTGTATTGCAGCGGTAGGATTACACTATTTAGATTTACAGTTTAGCAGATTTTTAACTATTTCCTGGTAACATGGAAAAAAAATTAGAAAGGTTTATTCCCCAGTTATGGTAATTCTTGAGCGTGTTTACAAATTATAGTCTGTTTTAAAGAGTTCCAATACAATAGAATTCCACCTAAATGAATTCTGTCAGTATTTGGTTTATTTTCAAGTATCTTTGTGTGTGAACACATGAAAGAGTGGAGCTCTTCTCAGTGAAGCTCCCTCTGTAAAATCAGGCCACTTCAGCCACTGAAGAGCAGCGCTAACATCTCCGGCCTTGCAGAATCCAAGTAAGGTTTCTCCTACCAGCTGGCTGTGAGGAGCACTGAAAGCAAGGCTCTTCCCTGTTGCTAATGCTTCTCTTCCTGCCATACACAGATATCAGTACCAACTGCTAAAAGTGCACCAGCCTCTTCCTGCTGGAGTTGAGGATCTCAAAAGGAAAGCGTGACAGGCAGGTGACATGGACCACAAGGGATATAAAAGAAAGTGGAGAGAATGGAGGCACTACTGCAGCCCTCCTCAACTGCTCTCCCCAAGTCATTTCTTACACACTTACAAGCCACAACGAGCACACAGAGCACCTCCGAATTGCTTCACTGGTTTATCACTTTCTCCCAGCCCCCTCTAGTTTTCAGCCTGCTCCTAGATCTTTCTGTATCCTTAATGCATTTTTCTTTCCTGTAGGGCATGATAGGCTTTCCATCTCCCCTCATCCTTTCCTGCTGGCCTGTAGCAGGCAGATGGAGAAGTGGATGATTACCTTTGCTAAGGCATCATTTGCAGCACTGAACAACAGAAGTACAGAAAAATGAATCGCACAAAAATTTAAACCAAATCTTAGCTTAAATCAGTCCAAGCAGTTTGGCTTACCTGTCCAGTATATGTGCATCTCCATATCCAAAACGCTGTCCTGAAGGACTTTCACACTGTAGCCAGGTGATGTGGTACACTTTAGCTCTCTAACTGGACTGGAAATTCATCCCTTCTTTTCAGAGAAAAAGAACATACCAAATCATAAGGCAGCCCTTTGGCTAGTTCTGCTTTGCTCCTTCTGGGTGGTGGTGTGGAAAGGCAGGAATGGTTCCTTTTGCATTTGGAAACACT